CCTTAGCTGCAAGGCAACGCACAGTGTGTGCAGTCATCCATCTGAGCCCACAGCGTCACCCCGTGGGACTTCGGAGCCATGAGAAACTGAATCCAATATGCCGATGTTCATCCTGCTTCCTTTGCTACGAGTAATAAGTTTTTTGACTCTGACCCAGGAGTCTCACATCTTCCGCCAGCACTCATGAAATAGTAACAAGCTAATTCATTAACTTCCAAGTAGGGTAACCCTGATAGCTTGTTAGCCTGCTTGCTTTTTAGTCAAGGAGTTCCATTTCTAACAACCTCTACACTTTCTCCTCAGTGATACTGAGAAAACATGGTATCACGTCTTGGCCAAACAAATTAACCATTTTCAAACTGTATAAAAATTTTCCTCCGAGCTGTAGACCTTTTAAGCTTTTTTAACGAAATCTGACTCCTGCACCTTAGTCCTACAAAATAAAGCCTTTAAGAAAATACATCCTCACAGGATGACCCCAGACCTGCTTCCTGGGACCCTTGTTATCATCCGTGGGCAAACAGGTTGTTCTGGCTCCCGAGAATGTGGTACTCAGATAGGAATGTTCCCCTCCGTGGAGGTCTAAATCCTGCAGATTAGGAACTCAGGCCTTAGGAAATTCTGTACTAAGAATTTCCAATTCTCCTGGGTCAGTTCAAAGCACCTTTAAAAGCTACCATTTGAGAGCCAGGTGAGACGCTGCAGCATAACCTGCAAGACATGAAGACTGCTTCCTCAGATCCTAAGGAATCCCACTCTCACACACACCGAAGCAAAAAGATTTCTCTCACGGAGACTGCACCTGGGCAGAGGCAACCACCAGAAACCTGTTTCCCCTCCAGCGCGGCCCCGCCCCTCCGCCTGTGAATCCCGCCCTCTCCGTGCCTCCAGACCAATGAGAAGGCGCGCCCCTCCCTCCCAGTTGCCATGGTGCCTGCCCAGTCCCTCCCATCACTCACCAGATGTGCGGCGGCTGGTCCAGACGGTGGAAGCGGGTGGCAAAGGACATCAGCGTCACCAGGGCCAGCAGAGCCCACCGGCCGGGCGCCTCGAAGCGCCGCGAGCTCGGAGCAGGCCGTTTGGGGCTCCGCGTTGTAGCTTCGGTGGCCACGTCCGGGCCCACGGCCCTAGCAGCCTGGGACCCACAGCGGCCCCTCCGGGGACGCAGCTCAGACCCTGCCAGGCCTCCGCCTACGGCCGGCGGCATCCTTCCCCTCCTCAGGATGGCCCTCCTGCCCGCAAGCACGCTGGGTCTTGCGAGCCGCCCCGCCAATAAGTCACCAAGCGGCGGCTCGGGGTGCCCTGGGAAATGTAGTTCCCTGCGCCGGCAGCCGGGGGCCCTGGGAAATGTAGTTCCCTACCCCGGACTCTGGGCTGGAAGGGGAGCGCGGTCGCCGCCCGGGCCGCTAGGAGACGGCTAGTGGCGCAGAGCATGACGTCCGGGCGGGCCGGGGAGAAAGCGGGCTCAAAGAACTGCAATTCCCAGCAGCGCCAGGACTGGGGGCGTGGCGGCAGGGCGGGGAAGCTAGAAGAGACCTTAAAGCTCATTCTAGTCCAAGCCCTAGCTTTACCGAGACGAAAACGTAAGTTCTGACGTGTCGGGGTCTCACTGGGCCTGAATCGTCGACGACTCGGAGAGTCGCAGGCGCGAAGTTTCCTGGCCTGGAAGAGGGGTCGCCCAGAGTGCGAGATGCAAGTGGGGAAGGTCTGTGTCATGCATCCGGGGAGAGAGGCTCTACTTAGAAACAGGGAAAAATCTTGGGGGGCGGGGTCAAAGGTGAGCCGCTCGGCCCCGCCCACAGCTCCTACGGCGACTCCCAGCATGCAATGCGCCGCGCTGGCACCGCTCTGCACCTGCGCGCTACTCGCTGTGGCCTGTGATCCCGAGAGGATTGGGCGCGAGGTGCAAGGTCCTCGTGGAGAGTACCCGGCTTGGTTTGGTGGCTGTACCCTTGCTCTTCATCTGTCTGTCCACCCACCCCTAACCCCACTCGACCTGCTAGGGCTTCCAAGCGTCGTCCCTCGTCTCCCTGATCCGCACAGCCCTGCCGGTCGGCCCGGCAGGTCTTAACAGTTAAATGGCCTTTCAGGGTTGTTTGCATTTTGAGAGAGCGCCGGGGGCGAGGGGAAACTGTGGCACTTACAGTCATCATAATCACTTGGGGACCTTATTACCAGTTTTAATTTGTATTTCCCAAGACTAACCCCAGAACCACTGTTATCAATCTCTATTAAAGATTTGGAACAGCTATTGTAGCTCAAAGGAAGGTGGCAGGCCCATCAGGTGGGATATAACATCACTTTTTTTTTTTTTTTTTTTGCTGTACGCGGGCCTCTCACTGTTGTGGCCTCTCCCGTTGCGGAGCACAGGCTCTGGATGCGCAGGCCCAGCGGCCATGGCTCACGGGCCCAGCCGCTCCGCGGCATGTGGGATCTTCCCGGACCGGGGCACGAACCCGTGTCCCCTGCATCGGCAGGCGGACTCTCAACCACTGCGCCACCAGGGAAGCCCTATAGTATCACTTTAACAGTGTATAGCCCTCCCACTCCCAAATAGGAGTTTAGGAGTCTTTCTCGAAAATCATGTGTAAGAGGTGGTTTTAAAATAAAATCTGCTAGAGTGGTGAGAATCCATATTTGAATTAAAAACAATTCCTCCAGGAGTGGTGATGAAACGGATATTTTACTTGGGCTTAAAATTTAGCCCTACAAATGCAAATAGGAACATGGGATGGTTTATGAAGTTATCATTGGTAAGAGAAAGATCAGAGACCGCCCTCCATTACATCTCCTGATGGCCCATAAGTAAGAAACCTGAGGGCAGGGCATTTACAGTGATTCTGTGGTCACCCTTAGTCTAGGTCAAATGTGTAACATTTAGTAATTAGGTAAGGCATTTCTTTAAGGATTCTAAGCTGATGTCTGCAGCTCTCTAGTGGTTCCATTCTGTTTCAGTGTAGCTGCCTCTTGGCCCCAGGGGCCCCTCCAGCCTAACCAAATAAGGAAAGGGATGCACCCTGGAACAGGGTACATCCAGTTGTAGCCTACGAACTCTTCTCCCTCCAAGAATGCCTGCTGCCTATCACTTGACCTTTGTGCCAGAACTATCTTCACTTTCCCCACAAAAGTTGCCTTCAGAATAGACTGGAACTCCCAGGGTCAGGAACTAACTTGGGAGGGTCTGGGTTCCCACTTGTGCCCTTGCCCACGTAGAAGATGGAGTAGAAGATGGAGTTGGTAGTTCAGGGATGATGAAAGCAAGGTCAGGTAGCAGCTTGGTGAGCTGGGGCATACAGAAGGGAGAGCGAACTTGGGTGAAATGTCTGTAGTCAGAGGGATGGTAGACAAGGGTGATCTAAGAAATTCTATTGAGTTCTCCCTCATCCAAAAGGCTACATATGTGTCTGCCAGAAGATTCATGAGTGCTAATTACTGGTAACTCTGTTCTGGGTTCTGCTTTGAAATGCTGGTGACCAAGAAGCACCAGAGAAATTAACTTTGAGTCCCCTAAACTTTAGAGGAGAGGTCACACACCCTGCTGCCTTCAGGGGCCTCAGAGTAACAAAAATGAGAGAAGTGGACCAGGTGGGGGCCATAGCAGACCTGAGAGGGCATGCCCTCTCTAAAAGGGGCCATTAATTGGCTCTGATCAATTTTGCTCCTCAGGAAACTGAGTTCATTATCTCCAGATTTTTTTTTTTAATAAAAAATGGACAACAGGATTTGTATATGAAACAATGTGACTTTTAATGTTAGCAATGAATTGAAACATTTTTAAATACAGTATAGACCAAACAGAACACTGTGGGCTGCCAGCTTATGACCTCAGCTTTGGAGTCAGTGGGCATATTCCCCAGCTATTTTTTTTTTATAGATTTTTTTTTGACGTGTACCATTTTTAAAGTCTTTATTGAATTTATTACAATATTGCTTCTGGGTTTTTTTTTTAATGTTTTTTGGTTTTTTGGCTGCAAGGCATGTGGGATCTTAGCTTCCTGACCAGGGATCAAACCCACACCCCCTGCATTGGAAGGCAAAGTCTTAACCTCTGGACCGCCAGGAAAGTTCCCCCCTCTGAGTCTGGCCTGAGTTTTCCAGATGCTATTTTTATGAGATCAGCTGAGAGTCTGGAGGACTGGTGGGTGGAATGTTGAAAGAGATGGGCACCAAAGTGCAGAAAACTAGATTTCCTGGTCTTTCTGCCACTGTTGGAAGGAAATAAGCTATCATTTTAGGGCAACCCTTCATTTTACAGATGAGGGAGCTGAAGACTAGAGAAGGTAGGGATTTGTCCCCAGTCATGCGGGGCTAGGTCCTGCACTGGGACCAGACTCCCAGTATGCCAGCTCCTAGCCCACTGCACCACATGAACTACTGCTTCAAAACCAGGCCTAGCTGTCTGCCCAGGACACCAGACCTGGCTCCACCAGGAGCATAAAAAGCTTTCCCCAGATTAGAAAGAGATGCCCTTTCTGACCGGAGTCAAAGTTCTCCTGATGCCTGTTTAGACCAGCTTCCCCATTGGCTCATGGGATCCACCCCTTTAGGGTTCCTCCCCCTGCCCCACAGTTCTGTGGGAGGGGACAGTCCCTGAGAGGCCAAGGGTCACCACATCATCATGGCTGAGTCTAGGAAGGTAAGGAGGGCACCTGCAGTCTGGCTGCCCCTTTGGGGGCCCCCTGGACATCAGGAATGCATGACAGCACAGTTTGGAGCTGAGGGACCCCACATGACTCCCCAGGCCTCTAACCCAGAGAGCTCTGAGTCTGGCCTGACTTTTCCAGACGCAGGCCTGAGGGAGGAGGCCTAGCAGGCTGGGAAGAAACAGTGCTGGCTTGGAGACCCCTGGCTGGGAGCTGTTGCCTCCCCTCCAGTGGGCTCCTGGGGCTGAGAACCCACCAAGCATGGGTTAACATGCGTCCTCGTCTTCTCTCCTCAGCCCATCCTCTATTCCTACTTCCGAAGCTCCTGCTCATGGAGAGTTCGAATCGGTAAGAGCTGTACCTCCACCAAGAGCTGGAGTGGGGTGGTATGGGGTGGAGGGAGGCCTGGGTGAAAAGCCTCTGTCAGACAGGGCACCAGCCACAGCATCCCCAGTCTCCTGGAGCCCTCAGCCTCGAATGGCACCTCCACCTCGGAAGTCCAACTAGAGGAAGTGGGGAGGGGTGTTTTTCCTCTTGGGCCTGCCACCTCTCCCACTGCTCTCCAAAGCCCCTTAGCAACCATGCTTCAGGCAGGCTCACAGAATCCAGAGACCCTTGGTAACTGGGAACAGCTGACCTTCCTCAGTTCTTATCTTATTTGATCTGGCAAATTAAACAGAGCTGGCCAGTGTGGACCCCAGAGGCTTCGGGAAGGAGAAACTGGGCCCTCTGGTTTAGTCCTGGTTCGACCCTTCTGTCCCTCAGCTTAAGTCAGCCCTCGGCCAAGGTCATAGTCGTAGCAGCTCGTACAGAAAGAGAACGGTGCTGAGTGTTTTTGTGTACATGACTCCATTTAAACCTCAACGACCCTGGGAGGGAGGTATTATTATCATCACCATTGTACAGGTGGGAAAACTGGGGCACGGGGAGGTTAAGTAACTTGCCCAAGATCATGTAGCTAGTAAGAGGCAGGCCTGGAATCTGAACCAGCTAGCCTAGCTCCAGCTAGTCCATGCTCTTTACTACGCTATGCTGCCTGTCAGATGGGGAAACAGGCACAGAGGCTGACGTTACTTGTCCAGGGCCACACAGCTAGCAAGTGAACGTGATGACATTTAAACCCAGGTAGCCTGCTGCCAGGAGCCTGTTCCTGACCCGGAAGCCATCCTTATGACCCTCCCCCTCCCACAGTCACTTGGTATTTGCTAGAATCAGTAGGCAAGAGCACTGGGGTGCCCGAGGACACATTTCTCCAAGAAGATGGCCTCCCTGGGCCCAGAGCCTCTGCCCTGACGGGGCCAGACCAGCAGCGCGGGCACTGTCTCTGCAGGGCCACCACGCATTGGCCTCCTGCCTGGCCCCGACCACTTCCACTCTCCAGGGTGGAGCTGACCGGCGCTGAGAAGGAGCCCCGCGTCTCCTGGGCTGTCTGCAGGCTGTGACACGTCTTGCGCTCCTCCCCTCGCTCATTTGCCTGATACCGGCCATCGCCATATTTTAAGGCACAAGTGTGCACACTTACACACACAGTCTCCTCCACTAGGGTCGACCGAGTGTTTTGCCCTCACCATGCTGGGAGGAAAAGATCAAAGGAGATGGAGAGGAAATCCAGCCACTGGGAGTCAGCAGATGTGCTGAGGTCACCAGAGAGCCCTGATGCCTTGGGATCTGTAGTCAACAGCCCTGAGAACGGATAGAATGGATTAGAAAGGGGTTCTCCTCTAAACAGAACAAGAGTGTCCTCTGCCTGTGTGGGCCCTGCGTAGTCACTGAGCACCTTCCCTTGGCCCGCAGATGACCTTTATGGAGGAATGATTGCATGTCTCCAACAAATAAGCCCTGCTTGCCACTGGGTAAGGCCCTGCCAGGGGCAGAGATGAAGGGGACATTTCCCTGCTGTCCTCCAGGAGCCCTCAGCGGGCCAGGGCACACACCCTCATAGCACCACCTAGAGGCATGAGAGGTCCGCTGGGGATATAGAGAGTCCAGGGGCAAGAGAGGCAGAGCATCATGGCCCTGGGGTAGGGGAGCGGGTGGTGATCCAGGAAGTTGGGAAGAAGGCGACAGGGCTACCCAGCAGTGTGGAGAAAGAAGCCTCCTTCCCGCTCGTCACCCTGGGAAGTGTGGTCAGAGGCTGTCACTGACTTGTCTGCTGTCTCTCCTAGCTCTGGCCTTGAAAAACATGGACTATGAGACGATAACCATCAACCTCACAAAGGATGGGGGGCAGCAGGTAAGGAGGCTGCCCCCAGGCCACAATGTAGGAGTCAGAGGCCTTGGAGAGGGGCCCGGCAGGGGGTGCAGACTTCTGCAGGCAAGAGATGAGCATGCGCCCTGTGGTCCCCATGGCCAGAGGAGGCTGCTGGCCCTGCCCTGTGGGACAGGGCGGCCAGCTGTGCAGCAAGAGGAGCCATGGGAAGGGCCCAGGTTCCAGGCTCCGCACCACAGCCTGGCCTCTCCATGTCTGGCTCCAGAAGTGTGGGTGGTGAGCGGGTCCTCGCCCCATGCCAGGCCCTCTGGATGTGCCTTGGTGACCACATATAAGGTGCAGGGACAAGCACATAGCCTGGCCACTGGGATGAAACCTGTATCTCAGCAGCCACTGGGGTTCAGGATACTTCACAGATCCCCCAGGTGTCACCCTGGGCCTGGGAGCCAGGGCCTTTCCCAGGGGAGGGAGGTACAGGTGGGCAGTAGGCGAGGGGCTTCCTGCTTGCCAGACTCTGCTTTAGCCAGCTCAGGCCAGGCTGCCCAGTCCACCAGGGCCTTGTCTCCACAGTTCTCTGAAGAATTCCAGGCCCTGAATCCCATGAAGCAGGTGCCAGCCCTGAAGATTGATGGAATCACCATTGGCCAGTCAGTGAGTGGCGGCTTTGGGAGGCCCCTCATGAGCGTGGTGCCCTGAGCAAGAGGACCTCGTAGCTCTTCCTTGCCTGTGTCTGCCCAGGGCACCCAGCTCTCAGCAGGGATGAGCGGGGGAGGGAGGAAGGTTGCTTGCTTGCTTTGGGAGGTGAAGGGAGACTCAAGCATATGGGGGACTAAGTTCTGTAGGACAAGGGTCCAAAATGATCTCATCCTCCTGGGGAGCCTCTTGGCTTCACAGGGCTCAAGGGGAGGATGGTAAGAAGGGTAAGAAGGGGGGTGGTGACGATGGTGGTGTTGGAAGTGGGGGAGGAAGAGGAGTTTACAGTCCCCCCATGGTCCCTGCCTCACGGCTCGCCTCCGGACAGCTGGCCATCATTGAGTACCTGGAGGAGACCCGGCCCACGCCGCAACTCCTGCCTCAGGACCCAAAGAAGAGGGCCCACGTGCGCATGATTTCCCACCTCCTGGCCAGCGGCATCCAGCCCCTGCAGGTGCGGCTCCCGTGCGCTTTCTCCCTCACACGCCTCTCACCCTTGCATCCCCACACGCATGCACTCTCCCCTCTGCATGCACGCGCACCCTGGCCAGCCCACCGTGAGGTGCCTTGCGGGGTGGCAGGAGGACAGAGGGGATTCTCAGGGGCTTGGCCCTGTCCCCTGTGGCAGAGGGAGGAGGGAGGCCAGAAAGCATCCACTCCCTGGGACGCCAGCCGCCTTCTGGGAAGCCCCAGGTTTCCAAGGACACGTCCAGAGTTGCCAAGGTGGGCAAAGGGCCAGGTGGCAGGGAGAGGCTGAGCAGCGCATGCCCCTGCCTCCCACCTTTAACCAGAGCAGCCTTCCTTTCACCTGTTCTGTGTCATAGATTGGGATTCTCCTAAGATTTTTTTGGTAAGTTTTCACTGGTAAAACAAAAAAGTATTAAAACAATTCATCTGTTTAAAAAAAAAAATTCATCTGTGCTAATCCCTGACTTTGCAAGTAAGGAAATAGCCCCAGAAAGGTGGAGTGACTGCAGAGTCACTCTAAGTGTGACAGACCCCCTGACTGTGTATCTGTGGCCCCCCATGTCACTTTTTTTTTTTTAACAGGAAGTTGAAGCAGACAGACATCCAAATCTCCTGAAAGCCAATCCTATGTGCCTCCCCCATGCTGCCCTCCCCAACCCTGTGTCACACTCCCTCTCCTCACAAGGGACCATGTCAGGGAGAAGCATTGGATGCAATGGAGAGAGGCCTTGGGTTGTGCCTCCACCCTTACACATCTCTGCCAGAGGGATAGGGGCCACGAGGGCAGCCAGAGAAAGTGGCCTCTGGGATCGTCACCTCCCTTCCCCCTCAGGCCCCACAGGGTGGGAGCTCACAGGGTCCAGGGTAGGACAGGTGTACAGCCAGGGACACACGGGAACCAAGCTCACCTGAGGGGACTTGGCTGAGTGCGCGGCTCAGCCTGGCTCCCAAAGCTCATCCCAGATTTTTCTTGGGCTACACAGAACCTGTCTGTCCTGAAGCAAGTGGGACCGGAGAACCAGCTGACCTGGGCCCAGCAGGCCATCAGTTCTGGCTTTAACGGTGAGTCCTTGCCCCTGTGAGCTGCCCCTGGTGACCTCTTAGAGAAATGGCCCTCACACCGGGGGCCCTGGCATCTGGCAGCGTCCCGGGCTCTTCGGCCTTGGCAGTGGCATGGATGAGGGTGGGGGGGCAGGGCCGAGGAGGCAGTGGGCTGGGCAGAATCCAACCTGGCCTCAACCCCTGGCACTTCTGGGAACCTCATGCCTGAGGCCTTTTGGAGATGGATGGCCCAACTTCTGCTCCATTGCCCACTCCAGGCAGGAAGCCAGGGCCAGCAAAGTGTCAGCACATCGGTGTGAGAACTGCTGCCTTGGCCAGTGGCAGGCCTTGTCCCCTCAGAGGAGGGAATGGCAGCTGAACTTGCAGAGCGCAGGGAGGCATCATCTTATCCCCATGTGCCCATCACCTCTCTCCAGATCTGACTGCCGTGTTCCCCCTAGCACACGCTCCAGCCTGCCACTCAGATAGCTGCCATGTCATAGCTATGCACCAAGGCCCAGAAAGGCTGCTCTCCCCTTAGAGTATTCATGTTGCTTCCCTCCAGCTCTGGAGCAGATCCTGCAGAGCACAGCGGGGAAGTACTGTGTGGGAGATGAGGTAAGCTCTCCCCAGGCCCATGGGGGTGGCCTCCTCCCTCAGGCCTACCTCAGGCTGCCACTGTCTTCCACTTAGACTCAGCTACCTCCCTCCAGCCCAGGGCAGGCACAGCTCAGAGAGCTTCCTGAGGAGGCAGCTGTAGCAAGGGTGGGGAGTCAGCAACCCAAGGTCGTCCTCTCTGCGTTAAGCAGAAGTTAGCTCACGGGGAGCTTCTCAGCCCCTTCCTGGTCAGCTGCCTCAAGAGGAAGTGAGTTTCTCATTGCTGGAGGTATTCAAGTTGAAGACCTCATCTCTGAGATGAGGAGGTGGTCCAGCCATCAGATGAGGGATCAGACTAGGTGATGTCTCCATTCCCTTCCAATGCTAGGATTCTAGGATTCAGGTGCCCTTGACTCCTACAGGCTAAGGCCCTGGCTCTATGGTAATTCTGGTTCCAGAGTCCCCCACCTGCACCCAGAGGCTTTCCCTCCCTGCTGGGAGCCCCCACTAAGTGCCTGTGGTGGCAATTTTGAACAAGCACAGTAACATCCACTAAGGCAATCGAGCCTTCTCTGGCTACCCACAGTTGGTTGTCAGCGCAACTGCACTGTAGCCTGGGAGAAGCGCTTCAGCTGCAGGGACAGACCCAGCCAGCCCGGGGAGATGAGGAGGGGGTGGGGCAGTGGGGGGGGGGTAGAAGAGCCAGAAGCAGAGGGGAATGCCAGGGGCCAGCACCCCAGTGCTGTCACTGGTGGGAGTCTGGGGTGCGCACCCTGATGCAAGCCCGCCCGACCCTCTTTGCAGGTGTCCATGGCTGATCTGTGCTTAGCGCCTCAGGTGGCAAATGCTGACAGGTAAGAGACAGCCCTGCCACCCTCCCTCTTCCTCCTGGCTCCTCCCCTCAAAATGCCCAGCTGCCTCCTACAGTCAGGCCCTGACTTCATCGACTGAGGTAGCATCTCACGCAGACTCTCCCCCACTGCCCCCAGCAGCCACTGTGGCCGTAAGAGACAGGCAGAAGCCGGTGTAACACCCTTCCCATGCCCACTGCAGCCCAGGTGATACCGCATAGCCCCCACTCCTAAGAGGAGGCGTGTCACCTGGTGGACGCCCCTGCAAGAGTCCACTCCAAGAGCCTGCTCTCCCCAGACGTGGTGTTTCTGTGCCTGGCAGTGAGCTCTGCCTCTGCTTTGCTCCATCAGCCCTTCAGGAGGGCACAGATGAGAACCTCTCTGTGGAAGGCATCGTGCTGGGCACTGTTAGGGGTATGGAAATGTGTGACACATTCCCTGCGCCTGAGAAGCTTATGACATGGGTGGGGAGATGATCTGTATATAAATGCCCAGCACTGGCCTTACACATAGTAGGTTGTATAGATAGCCATGGCCTGGAATAGGAGCAGTAGGAAACTGAGATGCCAGACAATACTGCACAAGACTGTCCCTCCCCAGAGAGCTACCTGTGAACAAGGACCCCCAACCTGGCAGGGCTGCCTTCCTAGGCCTTCCCTGGCCAGCCCCAGGGACCTCATCCAGCCCCGCCTCTGTGCTTCCCCCATCGCCTGCAGGGCAGTCTCCCTGGGCCCCTGCAGACCTTGGCTCAGGGGGATGTTTCTCTGCCACAGGTTCAAGGTGGATCTCACTCCCTACCCTACCATCAGCCGTATCAACAAGTCACTGCTGGCCTTGGAGGCCTTCCAAGTGTCTCACCCCTGCCGGCAGCCAGATACACCCCCTGAGCTGAGGGCCTAGCTCTCAAACCGCGCCCCACTTGTGCAGGGGCCGGGAGCGGGTGCAGGAGCAGAAGCTGCATGGGCTGAAGAGGCCTGGAAGCCAGCGAGCCTTAACTGGAGAGGTGGAAGACCTGAACTCCTAGCCCTTGAACTTGAACTCTAGGCCCTGGATTTGCCTTCCCACTGAAACTCCTTCTGCCTCAGCCCCTTCATCTGTCACATGCGGGCAGAATGGGGTGGGAGAATGCCGGGAGGCGGGTAGGCAGGAAGTCTTCATGACTGTGTCGCGGGCAGTCATGAAGATGAAGTGAACGTAGACTGAAACGTATGCCGAGTTTACCAGAGAGCCATGAGGAAGTCTGAGCGCCTCTTCCCGTCCCCTCAACTGTACCTGACTCCAAAGAATGCCCACACTGAAATCTGGTAATTAAACTAAAGCCCAGGCCCCCGGGTTGTTCACTTAAAGCTGAGCTGGGTTGCAGAAGGTGAACACTCTTCCTAGCTGGAATCCCTCTGTGTCTGGACCAGGAGAGAAAGCCAGCCAGCCACTTGCCCACTCTGTGGTTGGCCTGGCCCCTGGGACCTAAGGGCAAGGAAGAGAAATAAGCCCAAAAGCCTGCCTGAGAAAATCAGACAAGATCCAGAAGAGAACAGGTATAAGAAGCAGGAAAGAAAGCCTCCTGCGACCAGCTGAGTGCCCAGGCCTGGGAGTAGTCCCGTTGCTCACTTCCATGGCAGCGCTGAGGAGACGCTGGCCCGCTCAGCCCAGTCCCTCATCTTCAGGGGCAGCGTTCTCTGGAGCAGCCTCAGGATTAGGTGCTTAGGATACATCCACGTGTGAGCAGTGCTGGGAGCTGGAGGCAGGCTCCTCCGTGGGCAGTATGAACAGCTACTGACCAAGCTAGCAGGAGGCCAGCCGGGTAACGGCTTACCTTGGGCTGCCCTGGAGGGAGCAGGTCCCCATGCCTGGCAGTGCTCAGCCAGAACCAGGATCACCTCGGGCAGAGATACTGTAGGGAGATGCGGGTCACTTCTGGGAGTGAAACAAGATGACATTTATGTTCCCTACGTGAGATTTCATTTCCCCTGTGTAGCTGAGGTTTAAACAAGGAATTAAGATAGATGTGTCTGGTCCAAGTGGAAGCCACCTTTCTCGGCCATGAGTCCCTTTTCTTTAGCTCCAACGCCAGGGCACCTAGTTCTCCCCTCTCATCCCAGGCTCCTTAGTGGCCTCTCCTTCTCTCTTGGATGGCCTGGGCTCCAGGCTCTAGAATGACCAAGGTGGGCCGCTCTTGTTCCCAAGGTGAGTTTGTCCTGGCAGAGCCCAGAGAGAAGCCCAGGAAGGTAGAGGAGACACAGCAGTGGTGAGGGATGCTGTGCCTGCCCTGCCCTGCCGCCATCTGGACCTTTTCCTCAGATTACTCCAGACCTGCCTGGCTGCATAAGGCTCACCTGGGCTCTCGCCAAGAAACCTTGACTTGAGATAAGAGACTAATCTCCTCAGCTCAGGGATCAGTAACCGTCACCTGACTTGGACTTCTGAAATTGAAGGTGATTCAAGCTCCTATGGATTTTAAAGAGAAAATGAACTCAGGGGAAAGGAGGGAAGCCCATACTTCAGGCTCTGCTCCTACAGCTCCCACGGCAGTGTGCTCCCTGGCCCTGGAGAGACATGGGCCCAGCCAGGAGCAGCGGGCAAGCTGCAGGGCTAGCCTTGGCCAAACGGGGCGCTGCCACCACTCGCCCAGACTAAGGAGGCAGCTGGCTCTACCTGTCACTAACAGGTGCCTTTGGGAGCCCAAATAATCCAAAACAATTTCCAGTAGTGCTGAGGTTACCAGGTTCCCCTACTCCTCCCTCCTCCCAGTCTCGTTTCCAGGCAACAGAGGAGCACAGAGACTTCTGGGAAGTACAGGCAGTAGATAGAATCCACATCTAGGACAAGGTACAGGCGCAGAGACAACCTGAGACCACTCCCCAGCCCTGAATGGTTCTATGGGGAACTAGGTATAATGAGTGGGCGGACTGGGGTTCTTCCTAGAAGGAAACCATCTGGTGGCTGTCCTGCTCCAGCTGCTAATGCACGTTCCACTTCCCCCCACTCAGCATGCAGCGAGCCCTGCCAGGGGACTCCCCGCGCTGGGAGCTGGCGGGTGTGGCTGTGTGACTGGGGATATGGCAGACATGGCCCCTGCTCTTACTGAGCTTATGTCCCTCCACTTATTCCTGGAAATTTAACTGGCCGTCTCTATCTCCACCCCTCAACATCATGGGCCTGTTGCCTATCTGCTTGTCTGTCTGATATTAATTTGGTTAACCTGAGGCTCCATCAGCCATCCTAAAACTGGTGGCCAAAGCTGAGTTGGCCACCTTAAAATTTAGATTTTAAGGAAATCTAAACCAAGTAAAGAGGCGACACAGCCTCCGTTATCAAAAAGCACTTATAAAAACCATCCTCATTTAATGCACAAAACTCAGTTTAATATTTTTCTCATAGTTCTGGTCCTCTAGTTCAACAGGAGTTTTGTGATATGTGTCCGAGTGTGAGGTGAAAACCAGCCATGGCTAGGGGAGGGGAGGGATCAAATGCTGTGGGTTTTCCTCTGG